AGCGCTTGTATGTGCCAAGAGATTTGTGTACATTATTCTGATTTAGTCTTGTAAGAGCCCTCTAAGGTGGAATCATAGAAGAGTAGAGGTGGAAGGAGCCGTGAAGGCCACTGGTACCAATTTACAGTATCCCACTCAGAGGGCTGTCCAGTTTCTTTCTGAATGTCTCTGGTGTGGGAGAGCCCATGGGGTAGGCTGGCAGTAGTCTCCTCTTATTACAAATGTGAAGACAGTGGCTTCCTTGAGCCCATTTAAACCGAGGATGTCTTGAGTCATAAGGATACCTCAGGGCTGAAGCAGACACACACATGTGTCATAGGAATGACATTATTCTTAGGGTTTCTGCCCCAAAACACTCATGAAAGGCAATAAATAGGAAATGCTACAGAAGTGAGCTTAGTTTTCCACCTGAGGAATTGTAGCGTGCCACAGTTCAGCAAATGTTGTGCACTTCTTTTGAATTTATATCATACATGAAAGTTGTTCAAGTAGGAAATTATTCAACTAAACAAACCATTGTATTAAAATGGAATGAACTAGAATTCGGCTAAATACAACAGGTATAGTCAATTAAACAATATATTTATGTTGACGATGAAGTGCACAAGTTCAACCAAAAGAGCCCAAAACACTGGTTTTATTTTTTTAATCCCTTTTTTTTAGTTTCACCTGGGAAGTGAATTTGGGCCAAAAGATACACCAACAAAAACTAGGTTGGATTAAGTCTGAAAATGGATGCAGACTTTACATTTGTGATTGAAATGATTCACGTGAACATCAACGAGGCTTCCCTTGCCTCTGGCTCAGTGACATGGTTGTCTGCTCCATACATTCTATTTTATCCATTTGCAAAATTTATTAACTGCTCTGCATGTGAAAGTTATTCCCGTGTCATGAACATAAAGAGGAGAAAATCAGAATACTTTTTCTATTTCTCATTGTCACCTAAGTCCCACTCTTTTGAGACAGATGTGATGTGCTGCCTCTGTCCTTCTCACCTCAAAGGCAATGATGAAGCCTAAGCGAATGGCCAGCAGCTTCCAGTAGAAGAGGGTGTAGCTCCCGTGGGCATCGCGGAAGGCCTTGTACCTGGGGAGGAAGATGCAGTCAGTCCAATCAGAGCATTTGCTGAGCCACAGCCAGTGGCAGCAGGGAGGAAGAGGCTGCCTTGTCCTGCTCACCGGCACATGGTGTGGTTGCTGTCCACATAGCTGGGTGGGGAATAGGCCAGGGTAAAGTTCACATAGCCATGGAGGTGGCTGTCATACTCATATTGGTAGAGGAGACGTGGCAGGAATTCAGAGGTGAAGGCAATGAGGAAGGCCTGTGGGTAGAGCAAAAGCTGTAAGTGGAGCCATTGCGAGCGTCTCTAGCTGTGCTGCAAATAGGTTCCAACCCCATCTGGTAGGTTCCCACTGCGTTTCTGACCAAAGATTTCTGCGAACTGCCATTCTGTGACGATTCAGGCATTCAGAGATCTGACTGGTGGAGTGGCTGGTGTGTTGGACTGAGACCCAAGTGCTCTGGATTCTGGTCCCACTCAGCCTCTGTGGGACTTTTGGTGGTGGTCTCCTGCTGGGGCTATCAGTGCTGGCCTTGACCGCTACCACTTGCTTGCTGAATAGACGGAAAGCCTGTTCCTCCCTCAGCACCACTGACTGGCCAGCGCAACAGGCAGTGAACATGCCAGGTGCAGCAGGGAGGAGGCGGGGTGGTCCGGGGCTTGTTCTGTTCAGCGGGCTGGCAGGACGGGCGCCTAACCGTGCCAATTCTTGATGGTAGTCCTGGATAGTGGAAGTTTCCCCCCCCGGCCTTAAGGATCAATACATCTCCTGGACTCACATTGACAATGACAGAGAGTTGTGCTAGGACATCCAGGATGAAGAACCAGACACCAATGTCCTGAGCTCGCTCTGCCACTGGACGGCGGTATTCACAGACAAATTTCTGGGCGTCCAGGCGGATCTCCACCCAGTTATTGAGTAGTGCAAATAGTGGAGCTAGTGGGAAGGCAGCCACAAAAATAGTTATGAAACCAAACTGCAGCACTAAGAAAGGAAGGAAGACAGACAGACAGACAGACAGACAGACAGACAGACAGACAGACAGACAGAAAGAAAGTCAGCAGTCTGCTTTTCACATTTGTAATCCTCACAGCACCCCTGAAGAGCAGGCTTCTGGTTTTGCAAATTGCTGCTTTGTTGCTTGTTCTGCTCTTGCTTCTGTATATAAAGTGTTTGGAGCAAAAGCTGGACAGCCACCTGTCAGGAACACTGTACTTGGGCCTGGATGGAATAGAAGGTTGTACTTCATGAGGTCTAAGGTCCCTTTCAACCGTAAGTTTCTATGAATTGTATTTATAAGTTACTAGGCTGTATAACTTTGTTGTCATGTTTTATTTATTTAAAATTGCATGTTTTGTGACCAGTTCTGCCTATTTCATGAATGGGCCAACCAGCTGCTCTTGACAGGCATTTTGTGAGTGTCCATGACTCTCAAAATTCTGAATGCACCCACCAAAAGGGATGGCGCATCCTGTACTGAGCTAGCTAGATACAAGCTTGGCTTGGTGTCAGGCAGCTCTACTTGTCCGCAGATGTTTGAACATTGTCTCCTCTAACAGCTCCCTTCCCCTGGCCTGCTTACCCATCTCCAGGTATTCCTCAAAGAGGCCTTCACACTCAATCAGCTCATAGTCCTCCTCCCAGCGCTTGGGCTCCTGACAGATTTGGGCACCTCGCACCTGGGCCAGTTTCCTTTTTTGGTGCCAGGCCTTGAGCTTGCTGCAGGGGAAGAAACAGGTGAAAAGCAAAGGATCTTACAGACTTTGGGT